TTGTCTGGTAACAATGACTGTGGTCATCCGTCCCGTTTGCCCCTGCATAAACTTCTCGGCTACGAAGCAGCGACGCGATGACAGTAGTGGACATTCGTCTGTGCACTTTGCTTATGTATTCCTTTAGGCAGTGTCCCCATGGGTGATTCTTTGTGGCAGTTACGATGTTCCGCTCGAAATGTCTGTGGCAATAAAAGGGTGTGAATGCAATAGCAGCTTCATACTTTCGTGGTGCTACACTTTCTCAAGTTGAACATTGTGTACTTTCGTTAATGTTCTCCCTTGAGAGGACATCCCACCACACTCATTCCAACATATGCCTGAGCTTATAATAAATGTGCCTGGAGATTTTTCGCTGGATGTCAGGTGACTAACAACTCAAGTTCATGATCGAGCACGTATGCAGGCAGGCATAAGAGCAGAAGAATGTTTAGCATAGCTAAAAGATGAGGTTTCAGACGGTTACTATATCGCTATCAAGAAAAAAGCATCCCGCGCACTAAAAGGCATTTTTCACTCGTACAGGAATAAGACTAGTAATCGAAGTTTCCAGCTACTTTGTTTTTTAAGTAATGTTGCAATCGAAGTTCGTACCAAGAATCGCTAATTTTTGTACCTGGCTGCTAGTCCTTGAATTCGCCGCTTTTATTTTTTTTTCACGGTCTCCACTAGTTTTACTGGTTCTCTTGAACTATCGTAGCATGCGGCTGCCGCCAGTAAAACCGAACAGCGCCGTTCCTGTTTTCCTCACTCGCATCACACGACTTCGACGTACGCTTCGACAACATCCATGTTTGTTTACTTTTCGCGAAAACGCAGCCCACCAAATGCTGGCAACATTGCCATTGCGCATGCAGAAGAACGAGCGATTCGGTTGTTTTACAGCGATAGCTGTTATGGGGTCTTCCCCCCCTTTGGAATGATGGCGTAGGGTGTAGGGCGTAGGGCATTCGGTATCCGTCGTCGATATTGAGGATTGCTCCAAAACATTTTGTTACATTTCGCCGCTGTCAGGAATCGACCCTGGGTCTGCTGCGTGTGAGGCAAGCGCTTTGCCCCTGCACTACTGGCTCCACGGCACACTGCATCAGTAAAGTGTGTGTGGTGAGCACACATGTGCATATGAGTCTCGTGCACCGCCCGGCTACCTCCGTTTTCCAGGGAACGCAGCGGAACACAATCGTCCATGCACGCGAGATGCGTTAAATGGAAAGCAGGTCATGCCTATCATCAACAGTACACGCTCATGACGAAAATACAAAGAAGTAGCTTGAAACAAAACAGCGCCGTAGCACAGACAAAGCTATGAGCTCAAGCCCCAAGCAAACAATAAAAAGAGAAGACCAAAATGGCTAGATGTCAAAACCCTAAGCAAAGTGCACATAAAGGCGCCCTAGTGAGGTGCTAGTGCAGCTGGTATTGGGTGTTTTCATTGGCATAATTTAGTTCACCATTTTATTGTTATTAGCTGTCTGGCGCGTGCCAAATAGAAGCATTTCGATGATGCCTAAGACTATCAAATCCGTAAAGCACAGAAACTTATACCTGCCATTGTGTTACCATTGAACAACGAAATGGCCGATTGACATCACGTGAAAACAACCAACGCCTATTTGGTGCATTGACCTGCTTAGCCCGGTGGAAACTGTCCTACCCAAATGAGCCACGCCGCGATTCGCAAAAGCGTCAGAAATGAGTTGGAAAAATTTGCGAACTTGGAGTTGCTTGTGAAATAGCCACAGACGTGTACTTATGCAACGCACATTTGATAAATCTGTGTTCCGTCGAAGGGTAGCTTCACTACTCGTGGATCCAGATGAGCAAACGGCGCAAAGCATTCTGAATGCGAACCTGATCATTGAGGGTCTTGTGCTAGCTTGCACTAGCTCGCACTTCAGCATCAAAATCTTTAGTCGCGTGGCGGACAACGCATAAAGCCGAAGGTTGGGGGCCTAAATCCGGACTTCGTATTTCTAAACAGGTTAGTGCCCATGGTGCCACACAGTGGACCACCCCTCGCAACTCACTTTACATATCACAAAGTGTACTGAGTGTTCCCAAAAAGGGTACGTGCAAATGTAGTCATGCCACAGGGTTCACACAGATTATTCACTTAATCGGTCAACACAGGCGTATTACAGGTGTTGACGCGGATGCGCCAACAAATAACGACGAGAAACAGTCGACTGAATAGCGCGGCGTCAATAGGGAGTTTTCGTAGACCGCGTTGCCCCCTCCGCTAAGCGTTACGCAGCGAAGAAGTTGCTACTGCGCCTGCGCGCCGATAGCCTTGACTGTGGAGTTCCCGCTATCGTAGCGGGTTGCGGAGGGCCTTGCGGGACGGCGAAAACGATCTACGAAAACTCCCTATTAACGTTATGCACATAGGGTAACGTTAATTCTTCACAGGAACTGCACCACACCAGAGATCGATTCATCGTAGCTGCGGGAGGGGAAAGAGCCTGATTGCGCTACAAGTGTCTATAGGGTGTTTTCATAAGACTTAAGTCTGTCATTTTGTTAATAGAAGTCGGCGTAATGAGATCTGGAAGCTTCTGCGCACTACGCATCTGAGGGCATGAAATGAATTCTTAGAATGATCGCCTTCGGCACAAGCCATAGAACTCATCACAACAAAATGGCGAACAAAAACACGTAGGTGAATACACCTCATACTTCGAAGATGTATTCAAACAAAAACTACGTCTTTGCCATTTGCTTGTGACTGTGAGAGTGCAGCGAGGGCGCGGCCGTGAGCAACAAGCTCGGACGTTTACAAAATATAGCGTCTACCTGTTAGTCAGGGAAGCATGTCGTTTTTGGCACGACACACGGCATCTCACACTGTTACGATGCAAAAAAAGTTCTATCGAACCGAACAAGAGGTGTTCAATCCCGATTTGTATTGAGCTGACCAAACATGTTCGTGTCACACTGACGCGACTACGCCGATCAATAAGGACAAACATAAAGGCAGATTGAACAGCGACGTTAATGAACAGTCAAGAAAATCGGCTGTCATAGCCCATACCGATATTTCCAACGTGTTGAACCTCGGCAGCAGCGAACTTCGAGACTCCAAACTTCTTCTGCCATCTGCACTGCATCTGCCTCCGCCATTTGCCGCCATCCGCCATTCAGGGCGCCGCCGGTTGGATGGATGAATACGGCTGAGCCCTTTGGATCGGGCGGTAGCTTACGCCACCTAGCCATTTTGTTTTACCATTTAAGCTTAGAATATTTAAATGTGAAATCTATATTCACTTCGCAGTGCAAAGAAAGTGAGGCTATGAAACCCCCTTGCCATCAGTGAATAAGAAAATACCTAGTTTTCTCTCGATTTCTGCCACCATTCACTTAATCTTTGCTTGGTAATCTCTACAGTCTTGAAATCCACTCTCCCTTCGCTGTCTCTAAAACCCAATGACTTTATTAAATCTATGTTGTCTTCGGTAGGCATAGGGTGAAGCCCTTTACAGTAGAGTATCAAGTGCTCAGCCGTCTCGTTCTCCTCTCCACAAGCAGTGCACACTGTATCAATTTCCTGGTACTTCACTCTGTATGTTCTGGTTCGCAGAACACCCGTTCTTGCCTCAAACAGCAATGAGCTTCCCCTAGAATTGTCATAAATGCTTTCTTTGGCAATAACTCTTTTGTTTAATCTATAGCTTTCCAGAGCCGTCTTTGTCTGCATTCCCTCTAGCCACCGATCTCTTTCTGTGGCCTTAACTTTCTTCTTAACTGAGACTTGCTCTTCCGTATCTTCGCTATAGCCCAAAAACTTTCCTCTTAATTTCCTAGTGCGCTGTCTCCACTTGGTGTCTACACTCCTCATGTATAAATAGCTGAAAACCTTTCGTGCCCATTGCTCCCCGTCCATTAGCCTCAACCTATCCTCAAATTCTACCTTGCTCACCGCTTCCCTGCTCTCAAATGATGCCCATCCCATGTCTCCTTGTACTCCCTGGTTTGGCGTTTTGCAATGTGCCCCCAAAGCCAGTCTACCTACTCCGCGCTGTTTTATTTCTAGTTTCGCATGCACTTCGGATTTCATGCATAGCACTGCGTTTCCAAAAGTCAAGGGCGCGGCGCGGCCGACGCGGCGCGGCCGCGCCGCGTCGGCCGCGCCATCACGCGGCTGACGCGGCGATAAGACAATAACTCGAACAGAAAATTTAAAAAAAAAGTTATAGGGAAATCGCTATCACTAATTAGGAATTATTTTGAGCATTTCTGTGACAAATTAAGAACGTTAATTATTAGGCTTCAAAGTTTTCTTACTTCCCACCCATCCAACCGACTCAATGAATGTTACAGGTGTAGGAAACGAAACCGAAACCAAGAGCGGCGTCAGAAAAGCCGGATGTCAATCAGCGTGGGGATTAGCCTACCACGCCTACCCTCTCCCTTTCTTTTCCTTGATCCTTTTCACCTTTCAACCCTTTTTTTTCCCCTGTTGCAACCTGTTGTTTCAAGCTCGACATCGAAGCCACTGGTGTGTTGGTTGAATCATCGTGCTCTTGTTTGAATCGCCGTGCTTTCGTCCACGATTTGACTTTTGCTTGCCAGCGTGGAGTTCACCAAGGTGCGGGTCACGGTGGTGCGGGTACACATGTTGTGTGGGTACACGTGTTGTGTGTCACTGAATGAAACATCGGCGACGTGTTCTGCGAGACATTTGTAAGCTGGTTGAATCACCGTTACTTTTCCTCTCCAGTATCCTGACCGCTGCGCACTCGTGCACGAGTTGAATGTGCTTTGCATCACTGTTTTTTCGTTCCCCAGAGTGGTGAGCGTCGTGCTTTCATGCGCGAAACGAAAGTGCGACTTGTCTTCTGTGTATCACTGCTACTGAACCGCTGAATTTTTTTAACGATGGACGAGCCTCCTTCGCCGTTCGAGCGGCTGGAGGTAGTGAAGGACGACCTCGCGTCGACGGAAAAGGAATCAGTGTTTCGCGCGAACCTGAACAACGAAGCGGCCGTCGACGAATGGCTGGAGGCCTACAGTCTCCAAACAAACACTTCTTGGATCGTCCAAAAGGTCCAGAAGGAGGGACAACGGTACGTTCATGTCATTCATGCTTTCCGCGATTGAGGACCGCATCGATGATAATTGGAATGCGGCTCTCAACTAACTATATATCCCGAGTCTTTGGCCGTCTCGGCATGCTATTTAGGTTTTCTAAATTCAGAACAGTTATTGAGAAAACAGCGAATGGAGAACACATTCGAAATTTCCCGCGCAGCCGGGTGCCGTGACTTCACGGAGAGGCAGACGTGCAGGTCGAGAAAAAATAGAGCATGCTGCGGATTTGTTTGAACCTGCGTAGTCAGGGTGAAAATGAAATGGCATTTGTTTCACACCACCAAACTTCGTGTAATCAGTTGTCAATAGTCGTGAAATGGAGCGCATAGCCAATGAATGGAAAGCGGAGAAACTTTCCAATGTCGCAGAGCTTTATACACCCCCCCCCCCCCCCAACACACCCCCAGGTTGAGCCCGACCCCCCCCCCCCCCCCCCCCCAGAATTTTTTGTGCAAAGTACAGACAAGGCTACACCTCCCTCCCCCACACACCCCCTACAGCCGCCCAAAAACTTGTGACCCCCCCCCCCCCCCCCCCTTGTTGAAAATTCTGGATAAACCCCTGCCAATGTGTGTTTAAGTGGTGTACTTACCATACCCAAATTTCATTAGTGTAGGCTCTCGGCACTTTCCCATGCCATAGAGATATAGCGTTTTTCTTTTCCAGGATTTTAATCCGGGAACCTACTCATGAAATTTGAGTATGATAAATGCACCTCCTAAAGAGACCTTGAGAAGTTTCACTGCTATCCAATCATTGGCCTATTTATACGATCAATTTTACGCCTGAAGAGCGCCCGCGGACACCATTCGAAAAAAACATTCCTCCCACGTGTGAGCCAAATCTGTGAGCTATTCGAGTGAGCCAAATGAACCTTTCCACTTTAAAGCAGCTTTCCTCCTCAAGAATTAACACTACCCTATCTGCATAGGGTGCTCCCCCTTATTTTGCTGCATTTGTGGTATTTTCAGAATGGTCTTCCACAAGGTCTGGCGCTGCCAGCACCACCCTCGCAACAAGGTGTCCGAGCGCCGCAACGCTGTGTGCATGGCCAGACTCGACGTAAAGATAAAAAAGTTGAGCAAGGGCTCAAAACAGAACGACCCGTACCTGCGCAGGGACGTTCCCTTGGCTACTGTCATACGAATGGACACTCAACATTCGCATAATACACATTCAGCAGACGCTCTGCGCCTCCTTCGGGGCACACGTACCACGAGGCAGACGTTTGTGGGCTACTTCAGCGACGGGATGGCAGTCAGCGAGGCACGGAGGCTCCACGAGAGCAAACTCTGCATGGAGGAGAACGGTCCCGAGCTGCTGGCCAACGGCGCCCTCAACCCTCTGGCCAGAACCGTGCAACACTGGCACACTGTGTGGAGGAGCGCCTGCTTCGGTGGTGGCCCCATCGACGCTCTCTCCAAGCTGGAGGAGAAGGCACCCCTCTATGCTGCTCAAGGTATGCTACAAGTTATTACAGTGCCATGGCTTATTTTTGACATCACATGACCTACCAGTGTATCTTTCCACGTCACCTTGTGAAAAGAGAGGTATTGTTCATCTGTGAGCTTCAGCACTTGCCACTAGGCACATGCTATTAGAGAGCAACACCAGTTCAAATTCACATTTCTCAGCTCTATGCACATCACATGTAGCTGTGGCAGTAACTACACATTTTTTTTGCTGGGAATTTTAGGGGTACAGAGGTGAGTTGCATCGTAAAGCTCACTTGAGAAAAGTGATTAAAAAGAGCCGTGCCTCAATTTACTTAACAATTTCCAGGCACAAGTGTGACGGTCAGCCGGAGTGACACCAGCAGCTGTTCGGCAGTTCTGGTCGTGACCCCCATCATGCGGCGGGCCCAGGCACTGGAGGCAGCAAGGGACATTGTCTTTATAGACTCGACGTCCTCGTGTGACACCACCAAGTGCACCGTGACAGTGGTGCTGGTGGCGACAATGGCTGGCGCCGTCCCCTTAGCAGTCCTCCTGCACAACGAGCAAAGCACGGACGGGTACTCGGCAGCATTCAAGCTCCTCAGCGGGACCCATCCACTCTGCTTTGGGGGTCTATCCGTAAGTAGAAAATAATGTGGAAATTATAGCTTTTCTCCGTGGAAAAAAGCTGGTTGTCATTTACTACACTTGTTTCTGCCTCAAGAACATTAGAACCCTAGTAAAAAGCTTCGGTGTCTGCAGATGCAACAAAATTTCCCCCTTATGTAAAAATTGGCGTTTCATATTTTTAATGTTTAATTTTCTCCAAATTCGAGTGTGTCGTTTCGGTGCCTCACTTTTAACTCCGAAATTCAGTGTTTTCGGTGTAAATTTTTGCGGTCAACCAGGAATTGTGGTTTATCAGGGCCCATGTTGTAAAAGCAAATGCATATTTTTCACATTTCTAGAAAACACAACACAGCTTCATTCGCAACCCGGGATATAACAAACTAGTTTGCACTGTGCAAGAAATATGTGCAAAGCGTCATCATTCCGTTGACACGGGTGCACATGTGTGCCAAGCATTCCACAAACTTCAGGAGGATACTGCTCCAGGCACAAATGCGAGCCAGCATTGCTGACAAAATTGTGCCGTGATGAAGCATGCAATAACTTTTGACGACACTGTTTCAGACAAAAAAATTAGAGGGACACTTGGCCTTAAGGGTGCGACGCGATAGCGCAAGGCCGGGTTGTCAGGGCAGGGGTGGAGGAGGGCGGGAGTGCAGAGGAGGCGGGGAAGGGAGGGCAGGGTGGTGGGGCGGTTGGGGGACTGGAGGGGTTGTAGGGTGGTGGGGGAGGGAAGGTGTGGGGAGCTGCAGGGTCACACCACCCCCCACTGCTACTAAGAGAGGGCAGGGCATGGAAGTCAAGGGGATGGAGGTCAGGAGTCTGGGGAGTGGAGGGGTTGCAGGCGGGAGGGGAAGGAGAGGGGAGTAGTGGGGGAGAGAATGGGAGTTACGGGGGGTAAGAAGAGGGAAATCCCATCACTGATTCCCATTTAGCATCCGGGCCACGTGACCCGGGTTTTGAGGAACGGGGAAGGGCCCTCCCACGAGGTCACGCCAGACGCCGTGACCCGGCTCACTCGACACAGGTCACTGACCGGTCACGCCAGTCCAGCCGGGCCACCTAGCATGACCCGGGTCACGCCAGGTGCCATGGCCTGGTTCATGTGACCCGTGTTCCGGGTCACGTGACCCACGAGGTCACGCTGGACGCTGCTGGACTACTACTACGCTGCCTTTTCCGCTAAACGGGAGCCTTACGCTAAGTGGCGGCCCATACTGCAAGTGAGATGACCGGCAGTAGCCGTCACCTTATAGACAGAAGGAGGGCAAGAGGGGGACAAGAGGAGAGCGAGAAGGAGGAGGGGAAGGAGGGTAGACAGAGGGAGGAGGAGGTCAAGAGTAAAGGTAGAAGACCACGAACACACAATAACGCAAGAGAGAGAGAAAACGGGAAGACCAGGACGGAGGGCAGGGGGGACTGAGGATGAGGTGGCTTTGAGTTTGTGAAGGAAGAAGACGATGGAGGGGATAAAGGTGGGGCGGACCAAGGAGGCGGGGAAGCTGGTTAGGGGACGGAGGAAAAAGGTGAGAGGAAAGGAAGAGTGGAGGGAAGAGGAGCCTGAGGAAAGAGAAGGGAGCAAGGTGCGGATGGGAACAATGAAGATGAGGAGGAGCGGCCAAGGGTTCAAGGTCAAAACCAAAGGTCAAAGCCATGAACACAACCACATGACAGATAGAGGGGGAGGGAAGAGTTAAGCGAGGGAATTAAAGCCACGAACACACAACCACATGACAGATAGAGGGGGAGGGAAGAAGAGTGAAGCGAAGGAATCAAAGGCCACAAGCATGCAATCATAGGAGGAAGAGATGAGGGGGAGGAGGAGGTAGGGCACAGAGGGGAGATGGGACGAGTATGGGGTGGAGATAAAAGAGGTGAGGGAGGAGGGGAGGGGTCAGGTAGGAAGAAGGTCTAGTGTCAAAGGCCACCGTCACACGGACACATTCCGCCGACCACTCAAAGTGAAGGGCCCATATACGGCTACCGCAGTAAAACTATAGCCTGAGGGGGTAGTGGTCTGACCGAGGGATCAAGCATGAAGGCTTGGTCTAAGGTTACGAGAATGAGAAGGTGATGGTAGCACAGGTTGCACCAAATTCCTTTGTAGTGCAAATACTTCATATAAACCGTACGTGCGCTTCACTGAGATACATCAGTCTTGCCAGTTCTTTTCAATTGCACTCAGTGAAGGCACAATTGCCAGCAGTGTGAGCAGCTGACCTTAAGCCGAGGTGAAAAGAATGGAACGGAATGTCCCAGTGTATACAGTTGTTTATTTAAAAAAACAATTGTTTATCAGTTTCTGTAAATTGTTGTGTTGAACATAAATTAATGCTATCAGCCGGTTGTCACAAGCAAGTTTAGAACAGTTTCTATAGCTACAGAGAAGGGATATGCTACATGTAGGGACTAAAGCATTTACAAAGCATGACGGTTCACTTCTTTGTCTCTCTCCGATTGTGGGACGCATATCATCTTTTGCCAGGCACCCGAGGTCTTCATGACGGACAATTCGAGTGCGGAGAAGGCTGCTCTGCAGGAGACCTGGCCCACGGCAAGGCATCTCCTATGCCATTTTCATGTGGCGCAGGCGGAGTGGCGCTGGCTCACAGCTGCCCACAACGGTGTGCACAAGGACCAGAGGCGCTGCCTGATGTCAGCCTTCCAGGAGGCAAGTCTTTTACTATGCAGTTGCCATTGTGACAGAGGCGCTTGTGCAACGTTCCGCAGTATGAAACTTGCACTAATGTGCAGCAAAAGTGCAGCCCAGTTATTTAGAGTAGGGCGACACACCTCTGCATGTTAATGGTCTTGTGGAAATCAGTCAGGCAAAAGTGTGCATGTAAAGCTGACAAATGTTTGTCAGATTTCTAACCGAAGTAACCTCAACGGGTAATGGCCAACTGCAGGTCATGTATGCTGACACACAGGAGAAGCTGGAAGCAGCGACAGCCCAGCTGAGGCGCCAGCCACACCAGGCCTTTGTGGCACGGGTGGAGGCCTTCCTTGGAAGACAGGAGGAGTGGGTGTTGCTCTACCGTGCCAACACCACCACGCGGGGGCACAATACAAACAACTTCTCAGAGGCCACCATCCGTGTCCTGAAGGACATAGTTCTCAGCAGGGCAGAGGCATTCAATGCTGTGGCACTGGTGGATGCGGTGGCCATGGTGTGGGAGAAGTACTTCGAGAGTCGCATCCTCCGCCACGCCCACAGCCGTGTCGCAAGTCACCAGGTGGTATACAAGCGGCTGCTCTCCAAGATGCCACAAGGTGCAGCTGAGAGCATCCAACCTCTGGGCGAAAAGCTGTATGCAGTGCCCAGCGCCACACGCCATGACGTGGTCTACGAGGTGGCCGCAGACTTCGGAGCGTGCAGCTGCCCAGTCGGGAAACAAGGGGCTTTCTGTAAACACCAAGCTCTGGTACACGAAACCTTTGGTGGTTGGTTCCCCAATGCACCCCCTTTGACTACGGAGGACCGGCATCGATTGGGCAAGCTGGCCTTGGGTGACAAGTGCCCACCCTGGGAATTTTTTATGCCCTTTCGTGGAGAGCAGCAGTACCCAGGTGAAGAAGAGAGTCCCAGGTGCACCCCCGAAGCTCCCAAAGGCCCAGACAATGCAGAAGCCACTGACCTGCTAGAAGCCAATGACCAGCCAGAAGCTCCTCAACCCTCCACATCGGCCCTGGCACCAATTGCAGCGCAAGACCCTGACCAAGCTCAGCGTGCTCAGGTATGTGCACCCTTTGATGTTTGTGTCTTATCCAGCTCCTTTTCCCAAGCGAAGGGAGCACGATAAACTTGTATAACACAAGCTCCTTTTACAAGTCATACCGTGAGAGGCTCTAGTGCAGCAACTAGAATTTAAAGTGGTGCATATTTCCTAGCAAATACAAGCTGCGCACTCATCTGTGATGCATGCTTTTTACCTGAGAGACTGTACCAAGTGGAAATTAACAAGTGCACCACCATTTGTTCCTACAAGGTTATTGGCCCACCTTTAGCTGGGGTAACTACGAAGGTTCTCTGGTGCGACTTAGCAGTGATGTGGGGAGAAAATTGTTTATTTAAAGGCCAACGAATAAGCAGAGAGGAGAAAACTGCACCTCAATTTCTCCTTTCCACCCGAAAGAGAAGGATAGTCTTCCTCCTTGTGGTGTAAGTTACCTTCCAGACCCGCTCCTTTTGGGCAAAAAGGAATGGAGAAAAGGGCACAGGGGAAGGGTCATTTTCTTGGCTGCAAGGTACTCCATATATGTCAGCCTTTGACTACTTGGCACACATGTGCTTCTGCTCTAGTAGCCAAGCTCTCAGTGTTTCAGCACGGGCAAATCTGTTGAAACAAGCAAAATTGTAATTTCTCACATTTTATTTATTTACATTACTGTGAACCTTACGGTCAACACAGGAGAGAAAAATAAGTTGTACAAGCCAAGCAAAATGCATTCACACTCAAATGAGTACTTATGCACATGCATGGGTGCGGTCACACCCTGCACATGTGAAGATGTATTCCGCACACATACATTATTCAGTTAAAAATTTGCGCAATGATAATTTAAATGACTTGAGATTACAGCAGCTGACGACTTCGTTTGGCAGAGCGTTCCACTCTACTATTGTCCTACAAAAGAAAGAATACTTAAATACATCATTTTTGTATTGATACGGAGCAATCGCCCTGACGTTGCTAGTTCTTTTGGGAACGAGACGTTGAAGGCCACAAGTAAAGCTGCGGATCTAGCTTTGTCATTCCAGTTATTATGGAAAAGAGTTCTTTTAACCTTGATATTTTTCTTCGCTTTGCCAGCGAGTCAACCTGCGCCTCTTGTCTCATTGAAGAAACAGATTTTGTATGTTTATATCTGGAGAAGATAAATCGAAGCGCCAGATTTTGTATTCTTTCAATTTGTGATTCGTGGCATTTTCTATACGGGTCCCATACAGTGCTTGCATATTCTAACAATGGGCGAACATAACACATGTACGCAAGTTGTCGAACATCACTATTGGCATGCCTAAGTTGTCTTCTGAGGAATAATAACTTTTTGTAGGCTTTTGAACAAACGTAATCTACATGACTGTTGCATCGCATGGTAGAACGAAAAATAACACCCTAAATATTTAAATTCGTCCACCTTTCGCAGTTGCACGCCACCTATGTTATAGGAATACTCTAAAATGTTTCGTTTGTTTGTAATGCTGCAGAGTACTGTTTTATCAAAGTTAATTACCATACCCCACCTTTCACACCACAAGTAAAGTTTTTCTAGAGAGGCATTAAGCAAGTCTTGGTCTTCGACTGTACGCACTTTTGAAAACAACATGCAGTCATCTGCAAATAGCTTTACAAAAGTGGACCTGTACCGACCCTTGTGGCACACCTGAATACACTGCAAGGCGGGTAGAGCATGCATCACTGCAGTAGACATACTGTGTTCTGTTAGTTAGGTAAGACCGGACCCACGACAGTATATTGCTGTTTAGACCCACAAGGTGAAGCTTTTCAATTAATTTGTTATGAGGCACGCGGTCGAACGCTTTTGAAATATCCATAAACACGACGACAACCTGACCCCGCTCATTTACAACAGATGAGAACTCATGCGCACATTCAATTAATTGTGTGACCGTCGATAGACCCAGTCTAAAACCGTGCTGATGTTTGTATATTAAGTTGTTTTCTTCTAAGTACTGAGTGACATGATTTGAAATAATGTGTTCCAGCAGTTTGCAGCAAGTCGACGTTAATGATATAAGATGGTAATTTTGGACTGTCATTTTGTTTCCAGATTTGTGAATGAGTATAATTTTACCACATTTCCAGCAGTCTGCTGGAAATTTGGATTGTTGGAGAGAGGCTTGAAATATTATGAAAAGATATCGGGACACCCACTCAGCATACCTTTTCAGAAATGCATTTGAAATGTCGTCTGGCCCCGACGCCTTCTTTACATTAATATTCAAAAGCAATTTAAGTATAACACTTTCCGAGACAACGAAATCTGACATACGAGGTTCATCAGAGCTGCTGACGTGGTCTACCGGCGGGTCACTCGAGACTGTAAAGACTGACTGAAAATACATGTAAAATTCCTCTGCCACTCTAATGGGACATGATACAACCTCATCGCTTACCATCACTTCTGTTATTACTTCTTTTTTCGACGAGAAAAACCGCCAGAATTTTTGCGGAGATTCCAGCAAGAAACGAGACAGCACATTGCCACAGTAATTTTCCCTAGCTTGGGAAATAAGATTCTTCAATTGTCGCCCCAAATTTGCAATGTCTGAGGAATTTTGTTTTGCTTTCCTTTTGCGCTTGATCTTTCGCTTTATTTGCAAAATTTCTCTTGTTACCCATGGGTGATGTTGTCGTGCTCTCACGTCCCTTGTCGGAACAAAGTGATATGTACAGTAGGAAACAATACTCTTAAATGTTTTCCATAATTCGGTAACATCACTTAACTGACTAAAATGGTCAAAATGTTCAACTAAATAATCGAGGATGGACACATCATCAGCATTTTGAAAATCTCTGACAGTATGTTCGTGACAAGCATTATCGGCAGCTGTTGTGTGTAGTTCTAAGTCAAGAAACACCATTTTATGATCTGACACTCCGTCGAGCACATGTGCTTTATCCGCTTCCACTATGTTGCTAACAAAAAGTAAGTCCAGAATTGATTGGCTCGTATCTGTTACTCTTGTCGGCCTGTCCACTAACTGTTGAAGATTAAAACTGAGTGCTATATCTAACAAAAGCTCGGAGGACGCGATTTCATTTTTACCTAGTTTTTGCTTTGCCCAGTCAATATCAGCATGATTGAAGTCTCCAGTCAAAATAATTTTAGTTTTGTCATTGAAGCGCAACGCCATGTAATCATACAATTCTTCTAAAAACCATGCGGCAGTGTTTGGCGGCCTATATACAGTACTAACAACAAACACGTTGCCGTGAACTTTAATCTTACACCATAACACCTCCCTGTTGACAACGCAATCTAATGGTACCAGGTCCACCGAACTTTTTGCGATAATAGTCACGCCGCCGCCCCTTGACCCTCGGTCTTTCCTAATCATTCTGTAACAAGGCGGAATAACTTCATTATCACCAATACCACTGTGAAGCCATGTTTCCGTGATGACAACCACGTGGGGGTCATGAGTTAGCAAGATTGTTTCCAAATCATCTACTTTATTCACAATACTAGACAAAGTATAATAATGTGCTGTCCTCAATGCGTTTTGTGCAGGCTCGAGAGGAAGTCTACAGGCGCCTGAAGTCCCGCATGCGACGACTGCACGCCATGAACGAGGAAAACCCAGCATACATTGAGCTTTTAGATGCCCTTGGTGACCGGATGGATCGTGTAACGAATGGGAACGACGCATATGGATTCATGCTTACGTTGAAGGCAGCTGCAGGAGTACGACAGCGTCGGGGACGTCGGATACGGGTACAGCCCACAAGCCTTGCCAGACGTCGGCCAGGACTGACAAGGGGTTCAAAGAGGGTGCCGGCTGGACGCCCATCAGGCCAACCATCTGCCAAGAGGCCCAGAAAGAGGGCCCACTCCCTGCAGATGAGCATAAGTCACAATGTGCCAAGTGCAAGACTGCACTAAAGGTCTTGGTGCCTGCCACCTCGTCGGGATCAGGTAGGTTTCGTTGAGCCCCATCCTTAGAAACAGTGGTGTAACAATGTTGATTCAGCTCTGACATGACTGGCAAGCTGCAATTGTGTGAGCACTTCGTTTGTCTGCAGGGTCACCGTGTGGACATGGGATGAATTCTTCAGGATCCCATCACGGTATTGGAACAAGACTCACATTTCGGCAGTTTCGCTGTCCCTGCAACGTAAAACTTGCTTTGTGCTGTAACTGAAAGCAAGACGTAGGCATTTTTCTTATTTTTTGCAAGCCTCTGTAACCTCCCAGGTTGAGCTGGATTTCATAATGTGATTCAAGAGTCTTTAACCACTTAACTGCCAATGACGAGATATCTTATCATGCTGACTTCTGGCCGGAACTGCCGATGACGAGATAACCCGTCATAAGACTCTGTCATGAGGAAAATACATTCCACAATTTTTTGGGGGGACAAAACGTCAGTTTTCTTGATTATCAATGTCCCAAGCATATTTTATAACATTTCTAGCTTGTTTTGGTGTTAATCTACCAAAAGCAGAGCAATGTTAGTGATTGGAGAGCAATGCCATGCACTTTAAAAATGGGAACCATCATACATGGTTTGCTGTTGTCACACGCCTGAAAAATAAGCGAAACATCGTTCCTCCGACCGATTCAAAGTCCAGCGGCGATGAATGGCTTCCGTCAAATAGGAGGTAAGATCATCTGGACTTGACTGAGTGACCCAGTGATGAAAGTGTAATTGACAATGAGAACTTCCTCATGGCGCAAGATTGGGTTTGCATCCGCATTGATAATGCACGTCCCTCTTCACCCATATTTTGTTTTACTGCATGCCCTGGAGTGCCTCGACATTCGACAGACTATAATTCTGTAAATGATCAAGTCTAATCAAAATCACTTTGCATAAACTCTCTTTGTACGGGGCTTGTACAAGTGATATACGTGTGTTTTCACCAATCTAAAAGCACTGTACAAATTTTAAAGAGGTCTTTGACTGCCGGTTTGGAAGATGACGTGTCACTTATGCACGAGTGTTTGTCAAATGTTTTATTTTTAATCAATTTTAATAAACCAATGACCGGTAATCTCTAATGACTGTGATCTTATGCCACCCCCTTTCATGAGTGCCTGTACATTGGGACCTTGTGTTTTACATTGCTCCTTCTGCTCTAAGATTGCTGAGCATGATTTCTCATCTAACATGGAAGTTTTTTTTTAATTTCTCATGTATCGTTTCATTATTTTGCGGTCTGAATTATTCCATGCTCGGGTTTGTCACCATGGTGTGGAACTGTCTTGCATCATCTGACATAGAGAAATTAATCTGTGCGAAATATGTACATGGCACATTCCTTACAAAATTACCTCTTCCAAGGAAGGTATTGCTGTACCTACATTTCACAATTTCCCTCCACGAACTCTATCAAGTCAAAGTGTTGCACGCAATGTACTAGTATTAATACAATATTTTCCGGATTATGGTCCCAAAGACCTAATTTCAGCATGAAATATTTGTCAGTGGATAGCCCGCACCTACAGCCCTTCTCACCTGTATAGTGAGCAAGGACAGATTTTAGCTTTCAAAAGGGTTTTTCATTGACAGCCTACATATGATGCATAGTCCATACACATGAGAAGTGCAGAGACAAGCCAGGCATTGTTCATGCACCACTCGCGGGCTGATCACGGCTATTCCTGAGGGTCAAGGATGACCTACACTGTCTGCCTAGGGGCAGCTACCTTTCATGTCGCCCACAGAGGTGTTGAGAGCAAAGGCAACACATTTCCTGTTTAAGGCGGCGGTCCCACGCCTGCAGTCTTTAATGATAGCTTTTAACATTTTATTTTTTGGGGGTACTTAGGAAATAGCTACAGAGCTGTCGCTTTGCAGGTATGTTTCTAACATCGGTGGGTAAACTCCAGCAATACCTTATTGACATAACTAACTTACGTGATCAGAAAATTAGAAATTTAGAAATCGCTTACCGCTTCCAAGATTTCTCCTTTAATAATAAAGTTTGGATTACCATTTTTTCTACTCGCATTCTACTCGATATTAATCCTAAGTGTGCTACTAAAGGAGAACTTGGAAGCGGTAAGCGATTTCTAAATTTCTAGTTTTCTGATCACATAAATTAGATATGTCAATAAAGCTTGGTTGTAATTTACCCACCGATATTAGAAAAATGCCTGCAAAACGACAGCTCTTTAGCTACTAGGCACTGTAAAAAATAAAATGTTAGACACCAAGAGTAAAGACGGCAGCCGTGGGACCACTGCCTTAATCAGATCATGTAAATATGTAGATGGTCAAATTGGTAGCAGATTTGTAGTACAAATTTTATGACTTTTCATGTACCTCAATGTTTCAGTATACATGCTTGTTTATTCTAGTTATTTTAAGGACATTTTGTAAATTTCTTTTTTACATGATTTTATAATTAAGTATGTTTTGTTTAAATATGAAGATGTTCCTGTATGTAATACAAAGGTGTCGTCATCATCTGGCCAAAGGGACAGAATGTCATTATTACTGTAAAGGCAATGGCACACTTTTTGGAAACCAGCACTATACCACTCTGTTGAAACAGTTTCATGTTGTGAAATAAAATTCTTCCTTGTATTCAAAGTAACTGCACTTGTTCCCTCACTTCATGGCGAAGACTGTGTCACAGTAGCAGTCATCGTAGTGCACGACAGTATTCATTTTCCTACACAGTAATTTTACTCTCACCAGGTAGGAAGTGCGTGTACCAGAAGAGCGTATGACAGTATTCATTTTCCTCCACAGTAATTTTACTCTCACCAGGTAGGAAGTGCGTGTACCAGAAGAGCGATGAAAGGAGGAGGGAGATGAAAGAGTGATAAATGCCTACACAGAACGTTAACCTCCTCTCCGGGAGCAAAGCTCGCATAGAAAAGCAACGTTAGGTGCGTGCCTGTTACGCGTGAGCAACCTGGAAAACTGAATTGAGATGGCACAACTCCACCTACTTTGACACTTGTACTGGTGGTGCTAGAACACCTCCACCGCTTTCCGAAATCGCACTCTGAGCATTAAGAGTAGCAAAGGCGCGTACGCAGGCATACAGTAAGCCGCGGTCGCGGACAGGCGCGCATTTGCGGAACGAGAACATGTCCACGTACAAGAAGCACTGCGTCCGCGAGCCGTCCTCCGCAAGAGTTGCTAGCATTTGGTGCTACGGTGCAGCGGCGAACTCCAAGGATCGTTATGGGTCGTACTCGTAGGGGCGATTTCGACAGCGGCGCGTATGCTGTAGCATTATGTGGGCATGCAGTCCTGGGCGTTCATCTTACCAAAAAACGAGTTCACATCGCCGAGGTGAAAGCATTAGTTGCTAGCGTTTGGTGCTACGGTGCAGCGGCGAACTTCGACGATCGTAGTGGTCGTACTCGTAGGGGGCGACTTCGGCAGCGGCGCGTATGCGGTGGCATTATCTCGGCGTGCAGTCCTGGGCGTTCATCTTACCGAAAAATGAGTTCACATCGCTCAGTTGAAAGCATTCGAGTCATCGGTGCAGCGGCGAACTTCGACGATCGTAGTGGTCGTACTCGTAGGGGCGACTTCGGCAGCGGCGCGTATGCGGTGGCATCATCTCGGCGTGCAGTCCTGGGCGTTCATCTTACCGAAAAACGAGTTCACATCGCTAAGTTGAAAGCATTCGAGTCATCTAGGCACGCGCGTGAAACGAAGTGTTTACAGCGGCGCAGCGTAACGCGCGTCTCACCCACCAGCGTAGCGGCGGACGCCATCTTGACAAGACGAAAACGCGCTCAAATGCGTTCAAACGGCGCGGAAGTGACGTCATGTCACGTGACATTTTCAAAACCAATGAAATGGCCGCTTTCGCGTCGCGCCGAAGGGGGCGTGGCCAGGCACTGTACGGGATATGGTTTGCTTATACGCGGCCCGGCCCGACCAGGCCCCCGCGCCGGGCTGCGTATTTTGAAATCCTACCCAGTACAGGGGGGCGGAGCCAACAGAAAAACAAAAACAAACAAAACAAAACTATGTCGACTCCTATTGGTCCACGTGACTATGACGTCATTGGCTGTTCTCTTTAGCGGCAGCAGCTTCTTTTTTATTTTTGTTATGTTTTAATTACAAATTCACTGTAATAGGCAGTTGCGCGGGTTGCAATAAGGGTTAAAATAGTTCGCGATACTTTTAATTAGGAACAAAAGTCGTTGAGCTAGCAATAAATGACGCCCAAAGATGCGATTGCACGGCCGAGACGACGCGGACGGACGTGTTTACGCTGATGTGCGCGCGGGCTTCTTTTCCTAAGGTTTGTGGTTTCTAGTTTATGTCATTGTATTTTTATAGTCTCGAGCATCTCCGCGCTTTGAAACACGCCGCACTCAAGAATGCCAGTGTCAGTTTGATGGAGGCGATACTGTTTGTATTGTACGCCGAGCTAGGGAAGCCGTTAAGCCTTGCTGGAGAAAAGTTGTTTGCATTTATAACGTGAAATGTCGTGTTCGAAAGGTACGTACAGTGCCAGACCAGCTGAACCAGTCCCACACAAACAGTTGTTTAGACTGGTGCACGACCGCGAGAAGCGCACATCCGAGAAACTGCCTACGATAGCAGCCACCTTCGCTCAACTCCGAGACATTCGGAAGGGTTCCGCACCGCGGGAGACTGCAACGCCGAATCTGTACCGCGGAGTCGCACAGTCTCGCTTGCGAAGGACCTTCACACGGTTATATGCGAAATATAAGATAGTCGCACTTCAGGGACACTTATCAAAGCTTTGGCATGCTCTTGTGAAGTATCACAAAATTTGCAACTTCAAATTTGTTTCTAGAATAATGCGGGTTGACTGCATACCTCCTGAAACAGTGGAACCTCGTTTGATTATTTCAACCTACCTAGGCCTTCACAGGCATGAAGCAGTCTCTCAACACGAACAATGACCCTCTTGTCACCATATCAAATGAGAAACGAGTTGGCTGGACCGTTATAGGATTAAAGAAAGTATATTTAGAAAACGGTAAAAATATAAACAAATGTGCAAATAAACTTGAATCATACTCAGTTTGTGTGGGCTTGATTTTCCGGTTCTCGTCACTGGTGTTGTCACCGTCCCGAAGCTCCGGCAAACCAGCTGTTCACCTGCTTGGTCGTCGAATCCAGGTGCTCTAACAGTGGCACCTGGATTCAGCCTCTTGCGGGCACTGACCAATCTTAAAATGGCAATGCCTCAAGCACCTGCCAGAATTAAAGATAGTTGGGTGGGTTCCTTCAAGTCGCTGCCAAGGGTTGCTCCTGCCGGTGAATTATCATTCCAGCTTCTCGTCTGCAGCTGCCCTG